CACTGCCAACCTCTTTTAATGAAATTCCAAACAAGCTTGATGTCTGATTGTCATGCAATGCCACAGAAAGACAATGTGGCGCATGACGTCGGATGCGGTTAACAGCTGGGTAATTCCCGGCGCACGGAGGACCATGCACATTATAGCTGAATTTCACTCTCACAAAGCTGTGCGGCTGCTTGTTTGTACTGAATGTGCATTCAGTGAAAGCCTTAACCGTAATGGAGGTTTATTCAGTTCATGTGAATCATTTGGGTCACTGGTTCATAGTGAATAAAGTCCAACGGAAAAGAGGCTTTCTGCTTCTTGTGAATCATGATGGGTAAAAGAAGTACGTATCTTTTAAATAAAAACAAACCCTGAATGCCAAATGTGAGTTTTATAGAATATTCTGGCCAGTCTTTTTAATGACAAAAACACATTATAAAAGTGACTTTTGCACTACATTTAAAATACGTGACCCTGGACCACAAAACCAGTCATAAGGGTCAGTTTTAAAAAAATATATATATAAATAAGCTTTCCATTGATGTATGGTTTGTTAGGATAGGACAATATTTAGCCGAGATACAACTATTTGAAAATGAATTGAAATTTTTAAATTGGATTGAAAATCTGGAATCTGAGGGTGCAAAAAAATCTAAATACTGACGTTGAAAGTTGTTCAAATTAAGTTCTTAGCAATGCATATTACTAATCAAAAATTAAGTTTTGATATATTTACGATAGGAAATTTACAAAATATTTTTATGGAACATGATCTTTACTTAATATCCTAATGATTTTTGGCATAAAATTAAAATCGATCATTTTGACTCATACAATGTATTTTTGGCTATTGCTAAAAATATACCCCAGCGACTTAAGACTGGTTTTGTGGTCCGGCGGGGTCACATATTTGAATGAGGAACAAACTGAAATGTAAGCTGTTATCCATTGAAAATCTTGCTATTTGTCCTTGTGAGGGAAGTAATAATGAATTTGTATATGAAATTTGCATACAAATATTTTCATGAACAATTCAAGATTGATCAGTAACTTTAGTACTAGCATGTATTTAAAATGTATGAAAAAATGTAGGAACCACTACAACCACACATAATTAAAAATCACATACTCTGGCTGGCCTTATAAATGTGTTAAAGAATAGTTCACCCAAAAATTAAAATCTGAAAAAGCTGTGTATATGTAATAAACAAGTCTATAATCAAAGCGTTTTAACTTTAAACCGTCACTTCTGGCCAAAATACAGTCCATCATACATAACTCTTTGTCCAGTGAAAAAATCAATCCCCTGTTGTCCTCTTACGTCAAAATACCTGACATATTTGTTTAGAACTCTTTTGGACTGTTTTTACTTGTAAACTGTGCTTGATCTGTGCATAATTCTCTCCTGATTCAGACTAGACAACCTTTTCACTGGAGAGAGCAATATTATGGTTGTAGCTTGTATTTTAGCAGGAAGCATGTTTGTGGTTTAAAGTTAAAAACGTCTTGATGATGGATTTGTTTCTTAAAAACATGCAGTTTTTCACTTCACAAGACATTAACTGATGGACTGGAGTGGTGTGGATTACTTGTGGATTATTGTGATGTTTTTATCAGCTGTTTGGACTCTCATTCTGACGGCACCCATTCACTGCAGAGGATCCATTGGAGAGCAAGTGGTGTAATGCTACATTTCCCCACATCTTTTTAGATGAAGAAACAAACTGATCTACATCTTGGATGGCCTGAGGGTGAGTACATTCTTAGCAAATTTTTATTTTTAGGAGAACTATTCCCTAGATTAAACGAGATTAGATTAAATTTTATACATAGATTCTTTCATCAAATTATCCGAATACATTAACATTAAAACGAAGTTAAGAACAAATTCATATGTTAGGAGGACATTTTTCATAAAAAGATCTCCTGTGTGTAAATATGTGAAATATGTAGTGAGATTCGATGTCTGATTTGTGAACATTTTTTTTCTAATCAGATCTTTTCAATGAATCAATTGAACCAGTTCACTAAAGATTAATTCACTAATCCGACTCATTCGATTCTTGTGTTCAACTCACTGACTTGATTCAGTCACCGTGGCTAACAGCCCACTGGAACTGAGGATTATCAGTAAATAATGCCTTACATAGCAGTTTGTTCTTCACACAAAGCCTCAAAAGACTTGAAATACAGCACACAAGTCATCTAAATTAATTGGAAAGCTTAACAGGCTCCATTCTCAATTCATCTTAGTTTTCCATTGAACAACAAAAAAATGGCTTGGAATGACTAAATGACACCAATTTTCATTTTTGTGTGAACTAATCCTTTAAAGGACGTTATCAGCGGGTTAACCAGTATGTGTGAGCATACAGTCAGGAGATAATGTCTTTTGGATGAACCAGACTTTAAGCAATCTTCAACTGAGAATAAAAATGAATTCCTCAAGCTTTAGCTGAGGCTCTTATCCTCATTCTTCATTTTGAATAAGGATGGGTTTATGATGAAATATTGCTAACTAAAATAAAGATGCACGGATCTAGCTCACAAATTACATCTCAGTTTCTGCCCCCAGCGTGTCATACGAGTTCAAAGCAAAATATAAAAATCTGGCTCAAACTCAAGATTCACAAATAAACAACTATATATCCTAAGGACGAGATTGAACATGGCCTACTTCATCAGTGTGAGGCAAGTGCCCCCAACAACTTGGTCAATGAGCTATATTTATATTTGCTGAGCAAATCTGTGTAAAAGCAAAACTGTTATGGGGATGAAACCCAGTGCTTTGTCTCTTCATATTTACTGTCTATTTTCCATCTCTATGGAAATGCAACACAAACTACGATATATGTTCTAGGATGACCACATATGGCACAGTTTTTCTTTGCGAACATGCACGCATATTTTCACATAGATTGACTGTCATATGCACACGTGGATATTTGTGTATGTACAGAATGCACACAATCATGTACTACAGGGAACATCCATATGTGACCTCTCATCTTTTGCATTTGTCTCTTTATCGCATTTTAGCTTGTGTTAGTTCAGACCAGCAGGTTTTCAAGGGTTAAGAGCATGAGAAGCAGCCCTGAGATTTTGGGTTATAGGATTTTTATTTAACTAAATGTACTGATAGAAAACATCCCTTGATGAATGGAATTGCAATGAGGTCCTGAGATGCTTAATTAAACCCGAATCTCAAAAGATTGATCTGGAAAGACACTTTGAACTGAGCTGACAATCACACCAGTCAGACGTCAATATTCAAGGTTTAATGGAAAAACTCATCTGAATGAATGCGTTTGATGACACAGTTTGAAATTCACAATTACAGACCGCTACATTACAAATATTTATATTTTTGCAATTACATAAACTGATTTCAAATTTTGTGAACATGCATTGACGTTAAATGAAAAAGCATGGGATTTTGAAGCAATCTGAGCTGATTATAGTTTGCATTTCACATGTAACCTACCTAAAGCATTGCACGGTGGTGAAAAAAAACTGTATTTTCTTTTCTTTTCTTAATAAAAAGCCATTTATTTTCCTGTATTGAACATGCTATGTCTAGTTCAAATTACACTTTACTCATTTTATTTAAGTGGATACTTAAGGTAAACCAGTGATTTTTAATCCTGAACTTGGAACATATCGCCTAAAAGCATTGCACAGTAGAAAAAAAACATTTTATTTTCAAAATAAAAAGCCATTTATTTTGCTGGTATTGAACATGTAGACTATAATGCGTCTAGTTCAAATGACATTTTAATGATTTTATTTAATTGGATATTTATCAAGGTAAACCAGTTGTTTTCCTTGGTCCACAGCACTGCACATTTTGGATTTGTCTCTATCTGACGCACCAGTTCAGGTCTTGGTGCCACTACTAATGAGCTGATGATATAAACCAAGTGTGTTAATTAAGGGAGACATCCAAAATGTGCAATTCAGGGATATTCCATGACCATTACTGGGGAACACTGGGGTAAACTGTAGTATATGTATAAATCAACCAGCCTATTCATTTGCATATTGTATAGTGCAATATGTTTCAGATTCTAAAAAATTAAAAGTGTTGGTTTTATGCTTAGAATGACATGGTATCAACAAATTTGTGTTTTTCACTGACAGTCATCACTCCAAATGAGAGGTCCTCATTAGTGCTGCATACCATGATCAGGTCTTTTTGCTGGCTTATGTGAGACCTACTCTCCTTAAATCACACAAAACATTATTTTAATCAGAAAAGCCAATTATACTGTAGGTATCAAATGTGGAATATAATGTGACTACTTATACTAATTATATCCAGTTGGATACTCATCAGAGTAAACTTTCTGACATAAATGAGAAACTGTGTTATGGAAATAGCCTACTCTGTCGAATTGCATATGTATCTTTAGTTTACTGTGTTTCAGAATCTAAAAATAAAAGTGCTTTACGGGTTAGAATGGCGTGTCAAAGACTTTATATTTGGATTTACTACTGATTCACTCACACACGCTGAAAAACTGTTTGAAGCCAAAGAGATGTCACAACTGCAGAATACCACTCACAGGTCTTTCTGCTGGCTTGTGATAGACCTACTTTCCATAAATCACACCATCAGATTTATCCGCCTCATAGAGAAACACAGGCACGGGTAACAGGATTTTCACGCGTTTTAAGTGAACTGCGCTGTGCGTGGTGCTGAATCCTTCCGAACTGTTCTAACCAAAAAGAAAACAAACAAAAAAATCAGTATTTCTCTTCACGTTCACTTACAACATATTATAAATCGAAACTGGGTCAATAAGAAACGAGAAAAAAAGAAAAGAAAAGAAAAGAAAAGAAAAGAAAAGAAAAGAAAAAACGCCGAACAGGTGCGCAAAACACCGACCTTCTGTCTAGGAAACAGGTTAAAATACACTAAAGCGATGCGAAAATTTGTAAGAATTTAGTCGTTTTAATATATGGTAGAACAGAATATAGGCTTCAAGCACCATCAGGACTCTCTTACTCACCTTCCACTTCGTCCTCAGGTAGATTGACCGGTGCCCGGTACGACAAGATATCAGGAATGGTGCAGATCCCCCGGTACATAAAAGTGGAAGTCACCGGATGCATAGGCATTTTTGCGCTTTGTGTTGACTACCACGTGTGTATTGATCCTCATATATGTGATTTACTGTCCAGATGGCAACTTTTTACCCCACATCAGATCGGACCGACACCCTCAGTGGTGATCACGCGTGGAGTGGATTCCATGGAAAGGTCCGATAGTACTCTCGCAGCTTGCGCAATTGCGCAGCCCTCACCACGAAACCAGGTATAGGGATTTACAAGTCTTCACAGGTCACGGGTGGTCTAGATGTAAGGCTTTTTTTGGTTCGGATCTTCAAAATATAAGCAAACCGCCCCGCCTAATTTGTTGTAAAAATGACAAAGACAACGAATTACGGCGGCTCCATCGGCGGGGAAACTAGCAAATCCACCAGATCACACGACGCGCATCAAACAAACGCGCATTTTTTTTAATCAATGCGACAAAGTATGTGCGTGTTTGGCGAGGTTGCTTGGATCGATTCGAGCTCCAGGTCGTTAGACAGTGATCTCCATATGCTTGTTTTCTCCTCAATCGCTTCTTAAGACACAGCAGTGGAGCTTCGAGCACGCACTTGTTGGATAGCGTGTGCGCACCGCAAAGAACAATGAGTTAAAAATGCGCTTTACGCGTGTGTAGTTGAAGCTAAGGTTAAGATATTTTTCTTTAAAGAAACCCTATTTGTCCTGAATCATAAACATTAGATTTAAAAACGGGGAAAGATGCCACCGATACAATCAAACTTTCCAGCTAATCACAACATGCAGATAAACGATCAGTGCGTGGGGAAGCGCGGTGTCCGGGTTCCTTCGCGATGGATCTATATTTAGTCTGAGTGTAAGCTGCTGCTCTCCACAAGGTATTTCCCGCCGCAGGTGTTGGGAGGCGTTTACACAGGACGCGCTCTTGCGTTCAGCAGCTAGACGGAGCGTAACGGGTTGGAACAGTCTTGACGCGTTTTGAAAAGTTGATCTGCTTGTTTTTAACCTGGCAGGCTGTTTTAAAAGGCGACGGTCACGGTGCGAGACGCGATGCATCCGTCTGATAGACCAGTGTCAGACAAACTTTATCAACATGAATCCCGGTGTCCATTAATGGGCACTGTTTTATCGCTATGAGGCATTATTTCCTTTTAACCCTAACCAAAAACTTCCTAAGTATATTGGAATACGTTTTACAAGTCTTATAGATTATTATTTCAAATATTATTATTTCAGTTTTTCTACTTCAAGATTTCACGTTTTCAATGTGTCTTGCTTTTCCTTTGTAATTATTTGCAAAATGTACTAGCGACTTCTGAGTCAAAATTGTTTCACCACCATGTTTTTCAGTGTACAGCAGTGCAATAAACAAGGAGTTAACAGTTATAAGCAACTTACATTTTATAGCCTACAGCTATTACCAGTTGCTTTGTCTTTTTAGGTCCGCCAACGGAAGAGATCATTCGAAGCAAAAACAACCATTTGTAGCAGCAGTACACTGTAAAAAAAAAATCTGTGACATTTACGGTAAAATACCGGCAGCTGTGGTTGCCAGAACTTCACCGTAAAAAACATGGTAGCAACATTTTAGGTTTTACAGACTTAACTTAAATTCACAATAAAATACCGTATTTCATTAACTGCTGTAATGTTAATAAACCAAAATATTGAAGTACTAATATCTGTTTTGAACCACTGTAATGCACTGATAACCACCAAAAACTGGTGGTGATGAGAAAGTCACATGATGAACCAACGCTCATCACAAACAGCTTTTATACAAGCTGAGGAGGGCAATACTTATATATAGAAGGTGCACAGTGTCATTCACATAAACACTAAACCCCATCATGGTGACACACATGATTCTGAAATAATGCAATAAACATTAATTTAACAACATTACATGTAAGATTAAACCCTAATGTACCCAACTGATAAGAAAAAAACGAAGAAAAAATATGTTATTTCAACAAAAAAAAACATCAAATATGAAGTGTCATGCAGGGAATTCTGGGAGTGTCAATTTACAGTTTGTCACTGTAAATTATACAATGACTTTTTCTTTTTCACTTCCAAAAAATTTATTTTTAACAGTATTTTACTGTAAAATTACATTAAATGTAATTACATTTATTCACCGAATATAGTATGGAAACTTACTGTTAGCCAGTTAACAGGTTTTTACTGTAGCATTTTTACAGTCTTTTACTGTTAAAATCACAATCATTTTTTACAGTGTAGCATTCCTGAATGAATCAGTGTTGAATTGCTTGAGTAAACGAATCAATGACTCACCCACAAAAGTTTCGACCTGCACCCGAAATCGCACGCTGTCTAGTAGGTACTATTTGGTTTGAAACTTACTTTACAACTGTTAAAAAGTAGATCTATATACTATGAATATGGATAGTTTGCACTGATCTATATAATGTTCTCTATTATAGATCAATTATAGAGCAGTGGTAGTAGCCTATATGGGGTAATAAAATTCGGATGTGCTTCATCCGCCATGTCACCTATCACGTGATCACGTGACCTATCAAAGTCAGTTGCATATGCAGTCAGTTGCACTTCACTGCCATTCACAAACCCTCTCCTGTGTCTTCATGTGGTAGTAAAGTGTCCATCGAATGCACACTTAAGAATCTTGACAGAAGTAATACTATGAATTCGGACATAAATAGCCTACATTTTTTGCATTATATATGGAAGTAGGCATATTCAGACACAGTGTTGTTCCTGAATTAATCAGTTTTTTTAAAGAATTGGTTAAACTAATGACTGCAATGACTCATTCATAAAGACCATCACAATTGTTTTGTTTCTGAATGAACAGATATGTGAACAATTCTTTGGGATTTTCAAAATTTCTGACCCTGATATAAACATATAATTAAAAAAAAACATGCTCAAAGGGAAGACAGGAACACATCTTGAGTGAAAAATAGCACTGAACGAACACATCCTCCATATGAACGCCCCCTTACACAGCATTCTATGCGCAAAAGCACTAACAAGCACATAAAGCTCCTCATTCATTTCAGCACATGTATTTCACCACGAGCAACCGTGATAGACGTGATTCCCAGACCCCCCTTAAACAAGACGAGATTTGACTAATGCTTTCGCAGGGCTGGGACAGATTCCATCCCCTTTGGCATTTATTTAATGGAAACTCATCTTTAAAAATTCACATTCAGTTTGATAAGCAGTGAGTTAACTGCTGTTCTTAAACTCAAAGGCTTTGTCAGATTTGTCCAAACAAGAGACTGAAAGCATCCCAAACCCTAGCGCGTGACAGCATGCCAACATTTCAGAAAAAGAGGCTTATTATTTTGCATGTGCAAGAGCATCCTTGTAGAAATGCATAGCACTTTGCAATGCAAACATATTAATCAAAAGGTGCTTGGCATGGTGGAAGTCATCCACCGCACACTAATCTGTTTCAGTGTGAGTGGGTTATCTTAGCTTTTCTGCCCAGATTTCTGACACATTCGCAAGCAGGTGTTCAATTCTCTAGCAGGGATTTTCCGTATGCATCCTAAGTCAAATGCACTTAGTAAAAAACATATGCATTCTTTCTGAGACATACGAGTCTTATTATGGGTTATCTGGGGCTGTGATGGATTTGGGTGGTGTAATGACACCATTGTCTACTCCAGCTGTGAACCGGAGCTCTTGCGACAGGACCCAGGTGCACATATCAGGACCCAATGGCCTATTATGACCAGTGCACTCTCAACCTCCAACGCCAAGATTTTGAGGCATTTTCTAGCCCCTCCACACAGTGACAGGTGTCCCGTGTTTTGCACACACACACACACACACACACATACTCACACATCTCAGTGGGAGAGCATAAACTTTTCACAGTGTCACCCACGTCTTACACTGAGTGACAAGAAGAGAAAGGGGCTTCCTTCCGTCTCTCTTCACTGCTCCTGATGCTCTCCTGGGTGCATCACCTGCTTTGACCGAGAAACACTCCTCCAAGAGATTTTCATTTTTAGATCCGGCCCATTGGCAGGAAGCATCAGCTGTGAGCTTTATGTTAGAGGTTACGTGGTACCCATAATGCATTGCTCGTTCTTAGTGTGATTAAGGCCGATAAGCCTGGTGTAAATGATGTATTATGTTATCTTGACAACATAAATCCACAGTTTGAAAACCTAATAACAAATTGTACACTCCAACGCACACTGTTTTTTTCCCCTTATAAATAAACAAACACTAAAACACCCGACTGGCTTCACAGAGGAGTTACTTAGAAGGTGAATCTCACCAATACATGTCATAAACATTACTGTTATACAGTCTTTTCCTTTAATTGAAGGAATAGTTCATCTAAAACTGAAAATACTTACATTATTTATCCTCATGTCATTCCAAACCTGTTTGACTATATCTCTTCTGTGGAACACAAAATTAGCAATTTTGATAAATCTTCTGGTTCTGGCTCCTTTTTTTCTACATGCATAGCAAGAAATGGTGACTGAGGCTTTCAAACTTCAAAATGATTGTAAAAGCATCATTAAAGTTTTATTAAAAGTCTTCTGAAGTCATATAAGAGCTTTATAGATCGAAGTTGTATAATTATTCACTGCTGATCTTCTGCTCTATTGCAACTGGAGTCGGTGAGTTGAACAAGATCAGTCCCATCCATGACTGAATCAATTCACTGAAAATGTTCGAACCCCCCCAAAATAATGTATTCATGATTTGGACTTGCAATAAATGGTGACTGGGGCTTTCAAGCTTCAAAAAATGCAAAAATGTCATGGACATGTCATGCAATAGCTTTGTAATATGGACACTTCAGTCATATGGACACTTTAATAATACTTTTATAATGCTTTTGCATCCTTTTTGAAGTCTTAGCCCCCATTTAATGTAAATGCATGGAAAAGAGGGACTAGTATAGTTGTTACATGAAGGAAATAAAGCTACACATGTTTGAAACGTCATGAGGGTGTGTAAATAATAATTTTTCCTTCCATTTATTCCTTTAAATTAGTGTCAGGCTGAAAAACAAATATTACTGGAATTTATAGATACTGTAATTTAATTAATAAGAAATAATAATTTATTTTTCTTTTGATTTTAGGATGAAATATAACCCGGGCATGTTTGGCTTCCAGGAAATTCACTCTATTATACCATTGTTGCATAAGCCTATAATGAATTTTGTCCAAGTAAGCATACAATGCCTTCAGGGAGAGCCGGACGAGTCCCTGCATGGGTTCCCTTTCACTCTGCTCTGTATTGATCCCTGTATTGGCAGTGCCCACTAAATACAAAAAGCAAA